AGGACAAGTATAAAAGAGTAAGAAACGAGGGGATATGATTAAGTGATGTCTAATGACTTTCACCACCGAACCTATGCATGCTAGTTCCACTCTATTTCTGGACTCTGTCACAGTTAGCCTGCTGGCATGTTGTGTGGGATCAGAGTGACTGCACTGCTGGCTTCCCCTTCATCTTGATCTCCTGCCCAGGTTTACTCACTGAAGGCTTACGTGCTCGGCTGAAGGTTAGACCAGAGCCCACCTCTGCTCTTGGGCTCAGGGTGTGGAAGTTGTTCCCTGCTCCTTACACAGATAGAGAGCCCCTGACCCCATGCCACTGGGAACAGTCTCCTGGACCTGGTGATGGTAGACAGAGCTGCCAGATGGCACCCATTCCCGCCCTCCCCATAGTAGTAAAGGGGTCCCTTTTCCATGCCTGGTGCTGAGTAGCTCCCATCACTGTTTGTGCTACCACAGCCGGCTGTGCCTTCTGCCTGTAGCGAAACGTTCTCTGTCACTGCCGAACATTTAACTTATCATAGATTCATATTCCGCCATGCTCCAGAAACACAGTATCCAAGGTCTGCCCTTCTCAGTAGGTCAGTAGTCACTTGGTGGGGTGGTTGTTCTCTTGGAATATTTTGATTCACAATGCCTCCATAAGTCCTAGGTTCCACAACTGAAAGGTATTAATAGAAAAGTTTGAATGTCCCAGTTTTCTGATCTTTGAGAAAGGACAGTGGGGATGAAGTTAAGCAACTGAAAGTAGCGTGCAGAAAAAGCCAGCTTAGGGTTGAGTATGTGTGAATTCAGGAGGGTCTGAGAGAGGCGGGAGGGGGACTGTGTGTGTATCTAAATCAAGCACAGAGGATAAGAGAGACCATGTGGGAAGATTGGAGCAGGTGATTACAAGATCACTATTGTGGCATCTGATGGGTGACTGGTAATAAAATGTTTAGAGCACAAAGGATGGAGAAAAGAGAAAATGCCAAAAGGAGAAGGGGGATCAGGGCACACCATCTGGAATGGGCATTTGTTGGTCATCCCTTCAAGGCTAAGAGCCTAGGGCGACTAGAAGGAAGCATTACGTACCCCCAAATGCCTTGGATTTGGAATCCATAGCAGTGGGTCCAAAATTGTTGGGTTATTATTTATTTTCTGTGACCTTTTATAAATCACTTGATCCCTCTTGGCTTAAATATTCAAAATGACTGTACTAGTTAAGAATCTTTTTGTTTTCTCTGCAGACATCTCTGTGTCACTTTATGTCACCAGATCTCTCTTATCTAAGCTTGCTCATACGTGAAATGGTCTTATTGGCCTAGAATCTTTGTTTCTTTGCAGGTTTGATCTATTGGGAGTTAATTATGATTTAAAACCCCTTGATATCTGACATGTTTATGGGGATTTAAATTCTGCCAAGTATTTTCTGTCTTTTGGTCATAATAATCCTGTGAGGAAGGTTCTGTGGTGGGGGGTGTTTTACGGGTGAGGAATTGAGTGAGTTTGATAGAGTTTAAATGTCTTGCTTAAGTAAATAAATGTGCCCATGAGTGTGGTGTAGAAGTCACCTTGTTCCTTGAAGAAGGGAGGACTGATGGCCTCAGAAGTGCTGAGAGATGGGAGATGAGGGTTCAGGATTAAGGGTGATGAACAGGCCCAGAGCCAGTAAGGCAGAGGAGGGCTGTAACCAAACAAGGTTAAGCCTGATGTCCAAGGCTCTTTGCAGACTGGTTCTAGCCTCCCTTTCCTGCCCGTGTTTCACAGCATTCTCTGTTGTGTGTTCTACGCTCCATTTAAAAGGGGCTGCCCCTTGTTCCAGGAATTTGACGTCGCTTCCCCTCCATCCCTTTGTTCACCCTGCTCGCCATTACCTTGAGTGCCCCTCTTCTGGAATCCCTCATTTCCCTTCCAGGCCTGTCTCTGCTCTCATGGGATTGGTGTGGTGGTGGCTGGCCTGCTGAACTTGAAATGAGGCAAACCCGGATTTGATTTCCACCTTAGATACTTAGTGTGAGCCCTGCCCTGTGACTTAACCTCACAGTGCTCATTTTCTCCTTGGCAAAATGGTTATAATGATACTTGTAGCACTCCTCTCACAGTTAACTTAAGAGCTGCCTAGAATGATCCGGCCTTGCAGGGTGTTAGATGGAGCAGACCTGCACCTGCTCGAAGGTTATCAGGGAAGGAAGAAGTTTGGAGCAGAAACCAGGAGTGATGAAAGGGGTAATCTGTGGGAGATGATGGGATAGTTGTATGATGGCGGGGAGAGAAGAGAGGAGGGAGAGAGACAGAGACAAAAGGGGGAGAGAGAAAAGAGAGGAGGGAGAGAGACAGAAGGGAGAGAAAGGGAAAGAGAAAGAGAGAGAGAGAGACACACACACACACACACACACACACACACACGCCCCCGAGACAGAGGGAGAGGAGAGAGAGACATAGAGAGCTGGAGAGACAGAGAGGATTTTTTTAAAGCATTTTTTAAGCCCAAATGGGGAACAGCAGAAAATTCAGATGGAAACACTGACAGTGACATTATTTGAAAGTTACATATTTCCTATGTATCATGTCCATAGTTCGCTTTATGTGTATTTGTGTGCTTGTTGTCTTCCTGTTCGATTGTAAAGTCTTTGAGGGCAAGAACTGTCTTTTTCTTCTTTTTGTATCCCTAGCACTGAGCACCGTGCTTGGTGCTGGAGGGCACTTAGTCAATGTTTATTGATTGGTTGATAAGGAATGTATTTTATAGTTACGTGGACAATGTTTGTTGATTTGTTGAATCTCATTTGGGCATTGCAGGTCCTGAAGAGACAGACGCTTTGAACTCCTTCCCTTTGAAAGCTGTAGTGGCCTCATCTCGTCTGCCTTGTGAGTTATCTCTGCAGCACTCCTCTAGGCCTGATGGGGGACTCAGTCACTAGGCAGAGAGGGCTAGACCTGGGCCCTGAGGGAGGGGAGATAGTGGGAGGTAAGAGAGCTCTGGGACCTGGGGGCTCAGGAGAAGTCTCCCAAAGACTGACTGATCCGGGAGTGCAAGTCTCCTTGAAGAAGGTGTGACAGTGGCCCCTCCAGCTCTTGAGTCAGCCCTCTGAAAGCTCCAGCTGCCTACCCTTCTAAGCATTTGTGTGGGAGTTCCCATGCTCTCAGGGACTTTGGGTGGAGTCTAGATCCAGTGTAGATAAACTCGAAGAAGTAAATTTTCCCCATCACTGTTGGCTCCCGGCTTTCAGGCCTGGGGAGCTCTGGCCGGGCCTGCAGGCTGTGGCTGTTCAGAACCCTGCATTTCTACCTAGCCTCTTCCCAGGCCAAGCGCTTCCCCCAGTTGTCAGGGTCTCCAGTAGGGTCTGAACTCCCGGCAGGTGTATTGCACAGCTGTTGAGGAATTGAGCTCAGAGGTGGAGGGGCCACGCCCTCCAAAGTTTGCAGTCTGATTCTAGGGTGGATGTGGGCTTAAAAATCTGTTTTGATACTGAAAAGATTTCTCTGGAATCTGGAAGGTATAGCCCTTTAGGATAGGGAACTTTTCCCTTTCTTTCTGTTTGTTTCCTTTGAGCGGGTGGTGGTGGTGGTGATGGTAAAGGGATGTCTTTGTAATTTAGTTGGTTAGCTGGGAACAGGAATATAATTAACACCTAAAGGATAGTTGTAGTGGGAATGACAGCCCATCTTCCCCCTTTGCTAGGATCTCCTGTGCTTCCCCTTGCTCACAATTAACTTTCATCCCAGGCTTTCCAGCTAAGCCAGAAAAAGAAACAGCTTTTTTAGAAAGATTGTTTATGGGCAAATTTCACCTCCTCCTCAGAAAAGTAAGCTCTGAGCAGAGCTCTCTGCACCCTTCCCCAACCTTAGCCTCCTTCTCAGGTTTTCCACATAAGTCAGGAAAATGGGAGTTTTATGAGGGGAAAAAAGCCTTTTTTAGAGGAATTGCTAAGGGGCAGCTTTAGCCTCCTAAGAAAACTCCTTTACCATTAGAGCTGGCCCAGTTAGTGCCTTCTTTCTTTTGATTGTCTCCTGTTTATCCCTATATATCTCTTATTTATTCACAGTTGTCTTCATAATCTCCCCATTAAATTAGTGAATTTTTTTTTCTTCCTTTGTATCCTTAGTGCTTAGCACCGAGTCAGGTGGCTAGTAGATGCCTAACCAAAGATTGCTTCCTGTCTGACTGTCCCACAATGCCCCGGGAAGCCTCAGGAGTGAGGGATCCCCTGCCTAGACATCTTTAAGCAAAGGCTGGACCAGTTGAGAATTTTGTTAGGGGTGTTCATGGTTAGGGATAGGGTGGATTGGACAGTCCTGAGGCACCATTGAGCTCTGAAGTTCTGTGGGCTGTGCCCTTTTTATTTAAGATATGGGACTGTTAGCTGTTGTAGAAAATGTATTTTAATTTGGCATGGGCAATTCCATTTTGTTTTTACTTCTAATTTGTGAGTAAGTAGTTCTTCTGTAAGTTAGAAGATCAATACTTGTGTGTAGTTTAGCAGTAGCATGTACGGGGGGTCCCTATTTGATAAACTACTACTATGAACATGTGGGGTGATCCCCAATTCTGGTAAAGCCTTGCTAGCGGTGTTGTGGCTGATAGTTTCCTTTCATCATAATCCTGGGTATTTGATCATCAATAATTTCTAGTAACTTGTAAATATCACTTGTAACGTTCTCAGCCAGAACCATAAAAACTCACTGGAGGTCCCATGTCTGATGTGGGTGACCATCCGAACTGCCTCCTGTGTGCCCAGCACTCAGAGATTGGAGCATCTCCGTGTTCAGTCTGGAGCATGCTCATTTACTGAGACTGGCCAGAATGCTACTTTGGGCAGGGGAGAGCCTTCTCTTGGGCAGCTGTATGATTCCCCTTGCCCTGGACCTTTCATAATCTGCTTGCTGGTGTGTTCCTAGAGGGACTGATGTCTATCACGTTGAAGAGATGTTTGCAGGCACAAAGCTAGATTGAATGCTGTGCATTTACCCACCAGTTCCACTCCATGGCCTCCTCTGTTCAGCTTTCACCTAGCCCCAGACTGCACCCCTGTGGAAATGAAAACCATCCATTTTCTACAGTTAATAAATGGTAAGCATTTAATTAGCACTTAATTAGGCCAGACTCAATTCTGTTCTGTCCCCGGGGTTCTTCTTGATTAGATTGTACCTTCACAGGTAGGAGTCAGGGATTGCGCTGTTCACTCCAGGGGTCATAGGTAAGCAGAGGGCTGCAGCCCAGGGCAGGAACTTGGTGCCATTCTCCCAACACTTTCTCCTGGGAGCAATCCAGGTGCTGGGAGTGGCCCACCAGCACTCAGGAGACAACGGGGGACACTATATGTAGGGGTAAATGACACAGACTATTAGCTCCCACAGTTCAGGAAACCAGTCACTTGGTATATTTATTTTGTGCAGTGCCTCCTGTATGCCAGACTTCATTTCTGAGTGGGGTCAGGGCCAATATTGGAGTCTGGACCTAGGGTGGAGGAAGTGAGTCAATAAACATTTATGGAAAGCCCCCTTTTATGGGGGCCAATCTTGGTACTTACTGCTGAACTTACAAAGAAAGTCTCCCATCCCCCACTCGCCTCCAAACCCATCCAAGACAACAACAAACCACTGCCCTAACAGTCCCTTCCCTGAGGGAGAGCGTGTTCCTGTGCCAGACCCTAGAGAGTGAAACACCTGAGCCTAGTTGATTACCCCCCTTTGGTGATTAATCCACCCATTTGCACACTTGCAAGTGGAAGAGTATGTTCTCTGAACCCGGGGACTCAGTTTCTGAGCTTCTTTGGAACCACTTCTGGGGAGAAGAGTTCCCTTTATATTTGAGAACCTGGATTTTGGGGAGGAACTTAGGCTATGAACAGGCAGGATTTAAATTCAGAAGCAGAGAATGCAACTCAGACCTTCTCATGCCTGTAATTTTCAAATCCGAGGAAAAAGCTGAGATTTTATGTCTGAGAGACCCAGTGGAGAATCCCCAAGAGCCCGTATTTTGGTGGTGCATAAACTTAGGGGACAATTTTGTTTTTCTTATTGAACTCCTTAGCTGTGGGTTCTAGTTTGAGGCTCTGCTGCTTAGCTGGTCTCTGCAGGTCTGGGCTCTGCACACAGTAGGCACTTAAATCCTGCAACTGAATTTTGCTTAATTTTAGAAACCAGAGGACTCTGAGCACTGACTCTTCCATTAGAGCTGGAAGGTTAAGGGCCACATCTCCATGGGAGATGGAAACTCCCTCTATGCTCATTGGCATCTGGCCTTTGAGACTTCTCCAGTGGCCCCTTTTTTCTGAGGATGCTTTACTTTTCTTTTCTATCCCCTGTTCAGCTTCCTGGCTCCTTCTCCCAATACTTAGTGGTTCCTAGCTCTCATCCAGAGGCATCTTTGGAGATAATCTGCAAGACTCTGGAGTTGGAGCCCGTCCTGCTTTCAAAGGGAAGTCACCAAAGCTTTCCTCTAAGAACCTCCAATGCCATCTTTTAAAACTATTTCTATGTGCACTGCCTTCTATATCCAGAAAAGTTTCTTTTCTTTTCCTTTGCTGTGTGACTTTTCTTCCAAAGACAGAGGCATATGTGGTATGCTCACTGAACTTGTAGATGACACAGTCAGGGTCCAAAAAGCCTTCTCAGGAATTGGGTGAAATTGGGCCCAGGGTGTCAGAGGCAGCGGGGGTTCCTCAAAATGTTTGGGACTGCATGCTCAACACTAGTTGAGGGTAGAACAAGAGCCAGAAAAGCTGTCCCACTTGGGCAGGACAGGATGGGGAGAGAGCCAGGAGCTCATTAGAGCTCCTGGGCTCCAGGCACAGAAGAACGCCAGTGAGCCCAAGAGCCCAGAGGAAGGCCCCCCAGATGCTGAAGGGCCTTGATGCCTTCTCCTGTGAACCTTGTTTGAAGGAAGCAGGGATTTGGAGAAAAGACTTAGGAGGGAACCACAGTGTCCTTCTCTTATTGGACAGTCTGTCACAGAGGACTGAGTCAGGAGCAGTGCATAGAACTTGCAAAGGGGTAAATAGAAGGTCGCTTCAGGACAGACTTCCCAGACTTTATGGGGGTCCCTAAGTAGAATGAGCTTCATTAAGGTGGCTGCTATCTCTGGGATATTCAGAGGCTTAATGGCCACGTCTTGAGTGTGTGACAGTGGAGATTGATTTCTGATGTTGGTTGGACTAGTTGACGACCAAGGTGCCTTCTAAATCTCTGTTTATGTGATGCAGTGGTCTTTTAAACTCTGCCCTCTGGCATAGAGACATCCTGCTGTCCGTCAGGGTTCTCTCCTGTGTCCTCTCTTTTCTCTCTCTATTCTTTCCCTTGAAAGCCCCAGTATGTGACCTGCCCACCAGAAAAATCTGTTGATCCCTTTGCTGATCCAGTGTCCTGCTCTGTCATTGATCACGAAAGTCACTGGGATATCTGTTCAGCAAGAGCACGTGCCATAAGAGCCCCCAGGAGAGAGATTGTGAGGAACAGCCCGCTCTGTGTTCTCGTGGGCTGACCCCCTCCCCCAGGCCATACTTCTACACTTTTGTCTCTTTGGCACCCAGAGATCTATAACTTGATTGTGAGGATGGTGCTTGGGGATTCTCTTTGAGACAATAGAGTCAGCAAAGGCACATGGTACAAAATAAACACTAATTATCAATTACATTTCTCTACAGTAATAGCAAAGGCCACTGTAGAAAGGGAAAAGCCATTCCAAATAACTACAAAATGCATCAAGTACCTGAAGATCAGTCTACCAAAGCAGACAAAAACTTGTATAGACTAAATTACAAGAGACTCCTTAACCAAATAAGGAAGAGTTTAAATAACTGATGGAATAATACTCAGTGTTCATGGCTAGGACATGCCAATATTATAAAACATGACAATACTACTCAAATTAATTTACAGTTTAAATGCTATTCCAATCAAATTAGCAAAGGGATTCTTTATAGAACTTGATAAAAATAATAAAATTGATTTGTTCAAACAAAGTATGTAGAATATCCAGGGAAATAAAAAATAAATAAATTTTAAAAAATTTTTTAAAAATTATATATTTCCAGACCTCAAACTGTATTATAAAGGCTACAGTCATCAAAACCATTTGGTATTCTTGTGCACGTAGAGGTAGATGAGTGGAACAGAGGACACTGGGGAGAATTAGAAACAATGGAACTCTAACCCACTATTTGATAAACTGGAGAACATAAATTACTTAGAAAAGAACTATCTATTTTATAAAAACTTCTAGAAAAACTGGAATGAAGACAAGCAGAAATTAGGCTTAGACCAACACCTTTCCCCATATTCCACAATTCACTGTCAGTGGATATGGACATTATTATTAAAGATGATCTGTTTGAAAAAAGAGAAGCAGATCATATTCCTCTCACAGGTATGAGTAGGAGTATATTCTGAACTAAACAAGGAATGGGGGCAATTACAAAAGATAAAATAGATGACTTGGATTACATGAAACCAAAAGGTTCTGCAGAAACATAATTAATGTACGTAGGATAAGAAAGAAAACAGAATGGGGGAAGAAACCTGTGTATCAGTTTTCTCTAATAAGGGTTTGATATCCAAGGTATAGAAGTAATTAACAGACATATGCACACGTATATATTGTTGGGTGAATTATCTCCTACTGGCTCCTAGGCTTAGAGCTAAAAGAATGATGATAGCTGACATTTGCGTAGCACCTACTATATGCCAAGTGCTTTACAGACATTATCTTATTGAATCCTTACAACAGCCTTGTGAGGTAGGAGCTATTATTATCCCCATTTTTTCACGTGAGGAAGCTGAGGTTTAGTGACTTGCCCGGGTACATGTAGCTAGTAAGGGTCTAAGAGTAGATTTGAATTCACATCTTTCTGACTCCAGGACCAGCACTCTATCCACTGGTGCCACCCACCTGCCTCCCTTCAGCTGGAAGGGTCCTTCAAGGTCATCTCAACTAACCTCATTTTGTAGGTGAGGACAAGTGTCACATAGATGTCTTCTGCCATTCTTCAGTCCCCATCTCACACCCTTCCAAAGGACAGACCAAGGTGCCCTTTATCAGTCTAGCTGGCTTTGGTTTTCCTGGAAAGACGCTGCTGACCACCTGCTGAGGCATTCAGGAGGCGTGTGATCCAGTGAAAGGACCCTGGGTTGGGAGTCAGAGGTTCTGGGTCCAGGTCTTGGCTGTGGCACTAACTAATTCTGAGGTCTCAAGGCCTCCGTTTCCCTGGAGAAGTGCAATAGGAAGAGAGTTAGATTGAGAGTCAGGGGATATGAATTCTGACCCCAGTTTTGCCATTCACTCCCTTTGTGACATTAGGCAAGTCATCTAACTTCTCTAGACCTCAGTTTCCCTATCTATAAAATGAAGGCATTGGGATAGATGACAGTTAGAGTCCTTTCCAGCTTTGGGTCTGTGATCAAATGAGATAACATATTTAAAGCATTTTGTAAGTCTGACTTACTACCTTTTTTTTTTTTTTTTTGACTTTTTGGTGAGGCAGTTGGAGTTAAGTGACTTGCCCAGGGTCACACAGCTAGTAAGTGTCAAGTGTCTGGTCTGAGACCAGATTTGAACTCAGGTTCTCCTGATTCCAGGGCTGGTGCTGTATCCACTGTGCCACCTAGCTGCCCTGGGGAGAGTTTTGAAGCATCGAGACAAACCCAAAGCCAGTGGCAATAGGTGAGGCATGAAGTGATGGGAGTCTATACCAAGGTGGAGACTGTGTCATGAAGTGAAGGGTGTTATAATGATAAAGGTGACAAGATTTGGAGACTCATTGGCTACATGAGAAGAGAGTGAGTGAGAGGGAGAAGTTAAAGACAAGAAACAGGTTGGAAATGTTGTGCTTGAAAATTAAGGTAAACTGAGAACCAAAGGTCTCAGCATAATCAATTTATTCATTAGACTAACAGTAACCAATAAATTAGACCCTGAGTGAGAGCTGACAGGGTCTTTTAAACCTAAGTGTTTCTTCCTTCTGGTTGGCCTGACAGTATATCATTTGGATCTCCCCTGGCAAAGGTAAGACTATACGATTAATAGACATTTTAATGAGGAGGTAGGATGAGAATCACCTCAGCTTCTCCCCTACCAGAGAATAGGAATAGTCCTAAGAAAATAGGATTAGGCTGCAGACAGTGGGAGTAGTATGTAGTAGCTTTGCTTGAATCAAGTGAAGTTGGGTTGAGTGAGTAGTGGGTGAGGTTACAAAGGTGAATTGTACCAGGATGGAGATACAAATTTTTGTTGTATTCAGTCATATCTGACTTCATGACCCCATTTAACGTTTTCTTGTCAAAGATACATTGCAAAGGCCATTTCCTTCTCCAACTCATTTGATAGATGCAGAAACTGAGGCAAACAGGGTGAAGTGACTTGCCCAGGGTCACACATCTAGGAAGTATCTGAGGCTGGATTTGAACTCAGGTCTTCCTCACTCCAGGCTTTTAGGTATAAATTACTATAATGGAAAAGGTGGAAGTAGTTACAAGAAAAAAGCTGGGTCTTTAGGCAAGTGTCTGTGGAATGTAGGTGAAGGGTAAAATTACCAGGGTAAGGAGATTTTAGACTCACCTGGTAGCCTCAGAGAGCATTAAACTCATGCCAACTTACTTTAAGTCTTAAAAATAGAATTAAAATCAATTTTCAGTTTTATAGCTACACGGATTACCCGGGGCATGCTGGTACCCTGTACTATGATATGGAAGCGGGCAGGCATTGGGGGAAGGACAATGAGTTCTGCTTCATACACGCTGAATTTGAGATGCTCATTGGACACTAAGATGAAAATGTCCAAGAGGCAATTGGTGATGTAGAAATGAAGGTCAGGAGGGAGATGACCAGTCTGGGAACCATCAGCGTGGAGGTGACAGTTGAATCCATAGGAGCTCATGAGATCACCAAGTAATGTGGAGTATGTAGAAGAATGACAGAGCCTTTGGGAAGACTCAGAGTTAATGGGTATGGCATGGATGAAGGTCTAGCCAAGCAGACCGAAAAGGAGCAGGCAGACAGGTAGGAAAAATAGAAGAGAACAAGAAAAAAACAAGAAAGGGGCTAGTCACTGGGAGCAAAAGGTGATCAGTAGTGTCAGACTGCACTAGAAGTCAAATAGAAGAGGTCATTTAGTTTGGCCATTAGAATATCATCAGGGACTTTGGAGGGAGAAGTCTCAGTTGAGTGATGAGGCTCAAAGCCAGACTGCAGGCATGGCAGGAGAAGGAATGTAAGCATCGAATTTTATGGGGTTTTGCTTAGAAAGGGAAGAGAAACACCAGGAATGGCTCCTGGGATGGCAGCGTTGAGTAAGGGTTTCTTACATATGGATTAGCGCCAAGAGTGTTTCTGGGTGGCTGGGCAGGAGCCACTAATAGGAGGAGACTAAAGAACAGAGACAGTGGCCACCATATTGTTGTAACGTGCTGGAGAAGAGGGGAGTATTAAGGGCGCATCCAGAAGGATCAGTCTTGGAAACAAAGTAGGTTAGAGATAGGGGCAAAGGACAACGTAGTTGGAGATGATAGCAGAAGGATTTGAGATGAGAAAGGGAGAAGAGGAAACTTGTGAACATCCTCCGTTTTTCAGGGAAGAATCAGGTGAAGCCCTCAAGTGAGAGAGTGAGACATGAGGCGAGAAGACAGAGGGTTGGTGGAGCTTCTGTGGTGAGCTGGACAGAGAAATGATTAGGAAGACTGGAGGAGCAGAACCATCTATCAGTGGCCCCAGCCAGGTAGGCTTTTCCTTAAAAGAAATTAAAATTGTCCTTGGGACTTGATTGGCTCAGGGGACTCAGGATTGGGCCAGTCCTGGCTGCTGAGTAAAGTGATAAAGTTCAGTCCTTTCTTGAGGCTAGATCAGATGCCCATAGGTGGCCAACACAGGGGCAGAAAAGATGCACTCAGCTCAAAAAGCAAGATGTGGTCACTGCATATCTTTGTTGAACATCCTTCCTCTGCTATGGCACTGCATCTCCTTTGGTTAGCATTGTATGAAGCTTCCCATCACACCCCAACAGTGCTCAAGCTTCTCCGAGCTCGAGCTTCTCAAGACTTTTTGAAATACAGAGAACTTCTACTTTGACTTTGAAATTGTGAGTTATAACTAGCCCCCTCTTTCTTGGCCTTCTAATGAGAGGGGGGTACAGGACTCTGTGCATCTAGGGCCCATACTGTTTGTGTTGAGAAGCTTTTTTGGTGATTCCAGCATTTCAGCTCTCAGCAGCTGTGTAACTTGGTATCCATCCATTCCTTTCCAAGAAGTGACCCTGATAATCAGCCTACGGGCTCCCAGTAGTGGTCATCATTTGCAAAATTCTACCACTTTCATCTATTCAGTATCCCAGTGTACTAGCACAGAATTCAGGAGGCCAGGGTACATATCCCCACTCTGCTTCTTACTGGCTATGAGACATCAGGGAAGTCCCTTTACCTCCCTGGACCTCAGTTACCTAATTTGTCAAAGGAAGCATTTGGCCTCGGTGACCTCTGGGATTCTGCGGTTCACCTCTCTCCCATCTGCTGACTTGTTCCCTCCTGGCTGTCCTTTCTCTCTTGCCCTTTTTTCTGTACCTCCTCCCCCAACCTTGTCTTCTACTCACTCTTTCTCTCATCCAGCCACCTCACTTTCATGCCTTTCTGTCTCTCCTTTTATTGATCTCTCCATTCCATCCCTTACCTTTACCACTCCATCTCTTCATCCACTTTTTTTCCCTCATACTTTTCCCCCTATATTCTTTTATTTTCTTTGTTTCTCTTATCTATATCATCTCTCTGTCCTCCAATCTCCTGCCCTGCCCCTCTCACTGCTCTGTCTATCTCTGTCTCTCTTTCTCTCCTTGTCCTCACCTTACTCTTCCTTTACAAGTTTTGTCCTCAAAGAGAGTCATGGGAAGTTTATGTTGGAAGGTACCTTAGACATCATCTTATTCAATTATTTGATTTCACAGAGGGTGAAATAGAAGCCTAGAAAAGAGAAGAGAGTTGTCCAAGACCACTGAGCTATTAAGTGTAAGTGCTGAGCCTCAGACACAGGGCTTATGATTCTCAAGGCATTGCTTTTTCTCCTACCCCATCATCTTCCATCTCCCTCTTCATCCATGTTCTGACCCCTCTAGAAGGTCCCAGGGCCCCCCAGTCAAACTCTGAGGTGCCTAGATGGCCCCCTTCCTTTGACCAGCACATCCCTGCTGACCTGCTGCACCAGCTTGTTCCTCAGGCAGTAGACAAAAGGGTTCAACAGGGGGGCAACAATGGTGTTGAAGAAGGCCACTCCCTTGTTGAGGTCCAGCTGTCCCATCTGGGTTGGGTGGAGGTACATGATTATGCAGCTGCTATAGGTGATGGAGACCACCAGCATGTGGGAGGAGCAGGTGGAGAAGGCCTTGCGCCGGCCCTGGGCAGAGGACAGCTGCAGGAGGGTCCAGATGATGCAGAGGTAGGATGCAACTGTCACAGTGACGGCACCGGCCAGGGTGCACACAGCCACCAAGAAGGCAAACAGCTGCAGAAGTCTGGTGTCGGTGCATGCCAGAGCCAGCAGCGGGGTGCTATCACAGAAGAAGTGATTGAGCACCTTTGGTCCACAGAGTGGCAGGAGGAGCAGCCAGATGCAAGGCCCTGAGAGGAAGAGGAAACTTCCAGCCCAGCAGCCCAGCACCAGCCCCAGGCAGGTTTGGCTGGTCATAAGGGCTGGGTACCTCAGGGGATAGCAGATAGCCAGGTATCGGTCCACAGACATTACAGCCAACAGGAAGGACTCCACAGTGCCCAGGGTGAAGTAAAGGACCATCTGGGAGAAGCATCTGGGTGCGGAGATGGTTTTATGGCCTGTGAGGAGGTGGCTGAGGACCTGGGGAGTGATGATGGAGGTGAAGCCCATCTCCAGCAGGGAAAAATTCCTCAGGAGATAATACATGGGGGTTTGCAGACGGCCATCCACCAAGGAGAGGACCACAATGAACAAGTTGCCCAGCAGGGTCAAGAGGTAAGTGGGCAGGAGAACAGTGAATAGCAGGAGCTGCAGGCCTCGAAGGTCTGTGATACCAAGCAGAATGAACTCAGTGCCCTGGGAGTGGTTCCCCAGCTCACTCCACTCTCCTGGAGGCATCTGGAAGGGGGGGAGGGCATAAAGAGGTCAGAGGCTCTCAAAACAGAGTCTTATGCATGGGTGGACCTTTAGAGACCCGGAGAAGTCTCTCTAGGAGCATTTATTAAGTGCTCTGTGCCAGGCGCTGTGGTAGACTATAGGGAACAGGAAAGAATGGGCAGTGCCATCCTGTCATCAAGGAATCTACACCCTAGTTGTGCAGACGTGTTAATAGCTAGGCATGCACAAGATAAACATATATGTGTATATGCATGTGTCTATAGCCATGCCTCCACACATGTGTTTGTAAGTATGCGTGTGTATGTCATACATGTATTGGGTAATGGAAAGTACTTTCAGAGAGGATCTTTTGGCAGTTGGGAGGGTGTCCATGAAGTCCCCCTCAGAAGGTGGATTTGAGCTAAGCCTTGAAAGAAGCCAAGATTTTAATAGGCAGAGGTGAGTAGGGAGAGCATTCCAGGGGCTTAGATAGTCTACACACATGATGCAGAGAGATGGCATGTCATATGTGAGGACCAGCCGTGTAATAGAATCCATGGAGTCAAGCTTGTGAACACTGGGAGGGTCCCTCTGGAACACGTGCAGCTGGCCAGCCACGTGGTCCAGAGCACAGATAGATACGAGTGAGTGGGACCAAGCCCATAGCAGGGACTGGGATGGAGGGGAGCTGAGGGAGGGGGAGCCAGGTGACATAATGTGTAGTGAGAAAAGATGTCTGGAATAACCCTTATGGGGACCTAACCTCTTGCCTTCCCTAGCTTCCTTCAAGTTCATTTTGTAAGAAACCTTGTAAGAAACTCCATAACCCTCTTGCCTGAGATCATCTTTGATTTGTCCTGTGTGTAGCTTGACTCAGATCCCTAGCTCTGCTCCAGACCTGCTGAGTGACCATGCCCTTCTCTCTTCCTTTTCTGAAAAAATTAGGGGGGGCTTTGTCTCTGAATGTTCCTCACCTCTCACAAGCCAAGCCCTGATCGAACTCCCTGAAAAGATTTCTTTCAGACTGTTCCTGGCCTCCTTTATAGGCAGTAACATTGAGAACTAGAGAGGAGAAAATGTTCTAGTACTTTGGGGGTGGCCCCTGCCTGCTCTGGGGAAGAAACCCACAGTTAAACAGCACTGGCTACACTTTGTGGGGGCTCACAGCACCTTCACAACAGCCCCCCCGGGAGGGAGGGCATTCATAGACCATGGGAGCAAAGGAGGAAGCTGACAGTGTTGGTGGTGAGGCTGGACCCTGGCCCTTGTACCTGTTTCCTGCCTCCTCAGAGAATGAGACCAATGTCCTTAGAGGTCAGTCTGTTGTCCCATTCTTGCTTTGTCAGATGTCCTGTGCTAAATCAGCATATCCTGGGCCCTGAGAGACCCTGCTGGTGGCACTGAAAGGGCCCTGAATGACATCCAGCCCAGCCCTGGCTGAGCCTCCCACCCGTCTCCCTCCTGGGTGGCCAGTCCTGGAGCCAGGCAGGCAGACTGCTTGAAATTCCAGGGGTTCTGGCCAGGCATATGGCACCATACAGCAGTCTTCAATGGCCTGCTACAATAATGTTATGGTCCCCATTTTTCAGTGCCCCATCCAGAACCAGCCAGCAAGTGAGTGTCAGGGACAGAACTCCCCAGCAATGCTCTGTATGGCCCCCACAGCTTTCCCAGGGGTCCCCCTCACTTGGAGGTCTTTGAGCAAAGACCTTTCAGGGGGCTCTCTTGGCGGATCCCTGATGAGGTCCCTTCCAACTTGGATATTGTGTGATGATGGACCTGAAGCCCAGAGGGGGCAGTGGACTGCCCTGAAGCAGCCAGCCCCCAGAGCTCCCTCTGTTACCCTAAGTAGTTCTGGTGTTGTATTAATGTTACGTAAGGAGGCTTTTGGACCCAGTGAGTTCTCAGATCCCTTCCGACTTGGAGAGTCCATAATGCCAGGCTGTGGTGCAGCCCAGGGAAAGGGGCCATCAAGTGACCTCTGAGGTTCCCTTCATAATGTACAAATCTGTGATTTGTAGCTACTGTCAGCAGAGACTCCGAGGACCAGGGGACTCTCTCCTGACCTCACAGAACCTGGAACAGAATACGGAGGAAGGGGGGAAGGAAAGAAAGAAAGAAAGAAAGCAAGGAGGAAACAGGCATTTATTAAGTGATAAATATGTTGGTGGCACTATACAAGTACTGTCTCATTTGATCCTCACAACAACTCCAGGAAAAAGGTGCTATTATTTTCCTCATTTTATACATGAGGAAACAGAGTCAGGCAGAAGTTAAGTGACATGCCCAAGGTCAAACAGACAGTAAGTATCTGAGGCCAAATTTAAACTCAGCTGTCCCTGACTCCAGGCCCAGCACTCTCGTCTACTACAACGGCTAGATGCATCCATAGATGCCTCACAGACCCTTTCCTCCATTGCAGACATCTCCCATCCCAGCTGTTCTGACTCAGCTAGGTGGGCCTGGTGAGGAGCTTAAACCCCAGCTCTGACATGTCCTCTGTGTGACCTTGGCGAAGTGCTTTCCCCTTTTTTTGCCTCAGTTTCCTCATCTGAAAAATGAACAAGTTGAACTCAGTGATTGATAAGGAGGCTGAGGGTCAAACCTCTGATGTCTAACCTCCATCATTGCTCTTGCCTCTTAAGCCCACTTCGTCCAATAGAGTCCACAGTGGACTGATCCTCCGTGTGGCCACCATTCCCAGGAGCAGATATGGGTGACATTGGGGCTCCCTTGCCACAAGGGCCCAGAGCCTTTTTCCCGGTGTCAGATTTGGAAAAGGCCATGGAGGGATAGAGCAAAAGGGAAAGAGAGAGAGAGACTGAGAGGGAGAGAGACAGAGAGGGAAATGTGGACAGAGACCCAGAGAAGAGGGAGGACTTACTATTACCTTGGTGAAGGGTGGTGGACTCCGGGGCAGGATGGCTCTAACCCAGGGCTACATTTAGAGTTCCTGTTACTCCATCCTCACTCATGAGGACCAGAGAGGACATCCTGTGTCTTCCCTCTGCTGTCCCCAACCTCCCCTCTGAGCTCCTGCACCGAAATGTCTCTTGTGACCAACTTAGGCAACGGGGACCTGGGAAACTTCCAAACTTTTAATGACCCCCAAGAGTTTAATTAGATTGCTGCCTCTGAACTTTCTGTGAGGAGAACTTGCTCTGGCCCTGAGCCTGGGGGCGGAGGGGGTATGTGTTGTTGTTTTGATCTCCTCCGTGGTGCTCAGGCACAGTCGCCATGTCAATTCAACAAGCAGCCATGACTTTCCTACTGTGTTTAAAGCCCCCTTCTCTGCACTTGGAAGAAAGGTTTCCCGTTAAAATCTCATTGTTTCTGTTTCATTTATAATTTCATTGTTCCCCATCACCTGGACTAAGGAGAGAGATATTCCTCCAGGAAGTCAGCCTACGTTTGGAACATCAGTCACTTGGCTGTAGACAAAACATAACCCTAGTATACGCAATGCAAGGCTCCACATGATTTTCTCTATTCTTTATAATGGTTGAGATTTTTTGTCCTTTTAAAAAGTTACTTTGAGGCCTATACCTTAACCCTAAATGCCTGGTTGTGAGGTTTACGTCAGTCATCACCTTTTAATATCTTGGCAATCCCATTCAAGTGTCCATTCCTTACAGCCGCACACATCTCCATACACATCAGTTCGAGCCACTCTGACACCCCTGTTATCAATTTGCTTTACTCTCTGATTTCTCAACTTGACTTTTCTTATTTACCTTACTGATCTTGCCAGCAACTTCTTCTTATCCATTTTGAGTATAACTCTTCAGGGCTACTCCTTACTCCTCTAGGATTGTATTTCATCTTTTAAAATTCTTTTTAACTTCTTTCCTTGACTTTGGTCCTGCTCCTCTTCTTCTTGGTGGTCCTTAAGCAGTCTGGAGAACCACTTGTCAACCATATCTCCAACTTGAGATGACTTGAGACTGATCCTGCCTAGTCCATGCCTCTCCTGGGTGGGCCCTGGATTCAAGTCCAGACATTTCAGGTGGAGTAATGAGCAGAGCAGGACTGGGCTTCTTCATGAGGAGGAGGGTCCTGGATTATATTAGGAAGCAAGCCAGAAAGTTCTTCCACAGTGACCCCCAAAGTCAAGAAGGGGATGCTTATGTCTTGTTGCCTGTGTGACTTAGGACAAATCATGTCACCAACCTGGGGCTTGTTTTTTGTGTGTGAGAATGTTTGGGTTGGAATCGGTGACTTCTAAGGTCCTTTCCAGACGTAAATCCATGAGGAGCTGGTCTAAGAGCTATCCTTCCTGGACCCTAGACAGTCATAGATCCTTAGATTTGGATGGGACACGAGAGAACTGCCAGTCCAAAGCACTCCTCTTTCAGAGAAGAGTCAGAAGGCCCATCAAGGGGAACTACCTTGCCTAAGAACACAAGAGCCCAAGCAGAGCTGCTGTGCACGGGAGCAGGGCCTTACAAGCGGCTTTGGAATTCGTTCAATCCCCTCGTGTTCTAAAGAAGACTGAGCCCCTGAAAGGGTCAGGAGCATTACCAATGGCAAGTCCGTGATTCATCACACTGTCACAACTCACAGCAGAAACCAAAGCACTGTGGGTAGAAAGGGGTCCCAGAATCTCAGAGAGGGAAGGGAAAGGGGAGAAGCATTCTGTAAGCACTATGTGTCAGGTCCTGTGCTCAACACGTTTTCCAGATGTTACCTCATTTCATCCTCACAGTCCTGGGGGAGGCGAGGAAACGAGCAGACAGGTCCAGTGACTGGCACATAGTAAGCACTATGTGCACACATACACATATGTATGTTTGCTTTGTGTACATTTGTATGTAGTCCCCCCTATTAAATTGTAAGTTCCTTGAAGGCAGGGACTGTCTTTTGCCTCCTTTTGTATTTGCCAGCACCTAGCACAGTTCCTGGCATATAGTAGGCACTTAATAAATGCTTATTTACTGATTGATAAATACTACCTTCATTATTATTTTTACTACTGCTACTACTACCACTACTATTACTACTACTACTACTATCACCACCAC